TTATCGATTTTTTCTGTACGTTTAAATTTTACGGCAAAACCCTGTACACACACAACCTGTTTCTGCTACTGTTCTGGGAGTATGTCTCTGATGATGAATCCGCAACGGATTTCGAAACGCCAGGCGAATAAACATATTGTTCCAGCGATCGCGTCGTCTTCTACTTCTTTTAACAGCAATAGCCAATCTATACTATTCTGTACAGGATATACTATTCCTTCCATCTGGAGTCTCACATCTTCTCTTCCCTTACGGAACAGGACCTGAAGATCAAGCGACAGGGGGTTCTGCCTATTAACTTAACCCACTGCGATGTCTGTGGGTGAGTACGCGGCCTTCAAGTCAAATCACCCCGTAAATGACGATACCTTTACCTCAGCCCTTACATAACAGCCGGGACCGAGTAGTACTTCGGAATCTTTTACTGTATTATATGAGTACGGCTTTGCACGTTGATTTAAAAGGGAGCCGGAACAGTAGCTGTTTGCTCTATCGGGCGCAGGTCATAACAATTTCCCTGGTATAGTAGCATCAATCATAGTACATTTATTACACAGTGCTTTGTTTACATGTTTAATTGAAAAATAAATCTCTGCAAGAAGATTATCTTTTTATTCTGTCCGATATCTCTGCTCAAAAACGGTGAAATGGTAGAGTAGGAGGCTTCAGTCAGTGTTAGTTGCCTGTAAGTATAGATGACTGCCCGAGCATGCTAGGTAATCTTTGTTGGGAATGCCGTTTTTCGCATGGTGAGTCAACACACAAAAAGGCGCCGCGAGCTGCCCTGCCTCGCTGCGGCCAGTCTTGTCTGCTCAATTCTGAATGGCCCATTGTCTCGGGCTATGCCTCTCTTACGGCTCCTTAAATACATGCAGTCTTGGTGTGAGAACGACTTGCGCTAACGTGCTTTGGTGCATATACACTGTCTCATGGTCTCTGTCTTCCCTCGTACCGGGCTTTGGAAACCGGGGTCGGCTAGCTCACCGTTCGTGCCAATTAAAAGTACCAGGCACGGGTCGTAACAATCTTCCAAATGGAACCGGCGCCTGAAGGAATAAGGGCTACGTTAGTTTGGTGTTGAATATGCCCTTCTTGCACTCTTTATTCTACCAGCCTAGATAAATATAACACAAAAAGTAATCAGTATGTTAAATGGTAAATTTCTGACATGAATTCTTTTTCTGCTTCAGCAGCAGTGCGTAGCCCCTTTTTCTTTCAGTTATCCTACTAAAAGTATCTAGAGGGAATCAAACAACTATGGCAGAATTGTAATATTACACTAATGAGTGCCCATGGCTTTCACACGTCAATCTGTTTCAAACAGAAGTGCACATATACAGTGAGTAAAGTGCAGAAGTAACACCGAACAATCGTATTTGTTCGCTAACGTGCAGATCACAGTGTGGAAAAACCTGAATAAGAACGATAAAGTAAGAGCAAAATTGATTTGTAGGGCCCCTCTAGATATCTGCCCAACTGCTTAACGTATTTTGCGGTAAAACATTTAATTCTTGGATAGTGAGCGTAAATTAATATGTAATTGTGGCGGAAATGATCAAAATATTAAATTAAGTAAGATTATGTTTGTTTTATTATGCTAAAATAGAATAAAATAGAATAGAATAGAATAGAATAGAATAACATAAACTTCTGTTGCGCAGGATACGAATGCTAATCGAGGGAAATTCGACCTTATGTAGGTGGACGTTAACGAAAATGGAAATTCGTCCTCCTATTGGTGGAATTTAACGAAATAACTTAAAGTCAGGCTACCGAACATTTAAAAGTAGTTTTTTTATTATAAGTCAACGGGATTTTTGGAGCATATATGTCTATGGAGAAAAAAAATCGAACTTTATTCTAGTCCACTGTCCGAGTTAATCGGTCGATAGCTCATTGTGCCAGGCTGCTTTCAGTACTCGAATTGCTTTCTGCCTCCGTTGTGGTGCTGAAACCATAACGGTGCCTGAACCGTGTGGCCAATCTGCCGATGCAGGATTGCTAATTGAAATCGTGGAGCAGTTTCCTCCTTGTCAGAACAAACTGTCCTTTCGCCTCTGGTTCATCCCAGCCAAGTTCTCTTTAAAACTACCACACATGCCCTATCCTTCAGCGATGATACTCATCTAAGCATTCAGGAAGTCAAGTTAGGCGAATGAACGTATTCGATTAATTAATCATCAGGTAAATACAACAATATAAGGCAGGATAGAGTTAACAAAATTTTAAGCAGCCAATCAGTGGTAATTAGAGGAAAGGGGGAAGATGACGCCTTTTGTCTTCCCGCTTCCCAAAAAACCGCGAAATAAGAAGGACGAGGCGAAATGAACTAATTGTCGGAATCCTTCCCCCTTTCCCTCTTTGGTCCCTAATTATGACTATAATCAGACTCCTTTGATCCCTCCCTCTAATTACTACTGATTAGTTGCTTAAACTTTTGTTAACTCTACCCTCTCTTGTATAATTGTATATACCTATCCTTATTTCTGCTGAGTTGGTGTCCTAAAGATGTGTAGACAGAGAGGAAGTCGATATGTGAATCGACCAAACTGTCACCAGAAAACTGCATCTCTATTGTGAGCCGTTGGGACTTCTAAACATCTTGAACAAGAAAGCTTGCTGCTCGGAAGTGGAAGGTATGGCCAGTAGGTCTGGTATCGCTGCGAGATAAGACTTAAAATCCAGTCTCCATGTTTCTAGCTGGCGTTTTTAATGCTCGTTCGGCAGCTCAGAATTTTTTTGATCATTATCGCTGCAGCCGATTGGGCAGATTCCAATGATTTATTTTACCCAATTGTGAAAAATTTGGCGGCATCGCTGGGATTCGAACCCATGCCAGCAAGAGGAAGTCTTTCATACAGCCGTGAATTTAATCACGCTTGGGTCGATTTACCTGCCCAGCTTACTACAACGTTTTGAATTCAACAATATTGATACTGCCCAGGCAGCAGAACTGTTTAGCTTAACCGTCGGCCGGCTTAAGTAGTTGTCACGGTCTTATAGTCTTCTTTGTGTCAGGCTAACTGAGCATTTTTAAATTTTACTTTAAATGTGCAGGTTAAACCAAAGTATGCAAGAGACCAGGTGAGCGCTATTTCAGGCTTTCCATATAATTTTAAATTTTGAAATGACGATAGGGGTTTATCGTAGAGCTGTCTGAAGGAAGTTATTAATAAAAAAACTACTTGCAGCTTATCAGTAGGTTGAATTTCCGCCTGTCCAAACAGTTCCTTGGTTATGTTAACCAATTAGAATTGTTATAACAGCTTTCTTGGTCTACAGGCTTCCCTATCAGTCTTTTATGTACTTTTGGCAACTTTTTCCCCTACACTTTTAAAAGCAGTACATGCGGCTTTAATTTTTTTTATTGCGCAGTTATCCCGCACCTATACGGTCCCTGGTGTGCCGGACTCTTGCATTCCCCTTTACTAAGGAATCCCATAAGACACTTCAGTGAAGGGACATTTGCCACTGGGTGGCTCTATGATAAATCCCTGCCGAACTGACCATTCGATGGCTACTGCATTTGGCCTGCTTATAAGAATCAGAACTAGTGCCCTGAAAGATGGCACATGACACAACGGACGAGTATATAGCTTCAAGGGGTTGGGTTGACACGGAAATGGTTACCTCACCATGTGACATCTAGTCTTGCGCTAAATTTCAGGGCGGTTACCTTTTCCGTGTCCTGAGCCCAGCCTTGACACTGAAAACAATCCTAACCTTAACTATAACCCTCCTCTTAGGAGCTACCTTTTCCCGTGCCCGGTCCAATTTCTAATCATTCCGATACGGGATCCTTAGTCAGAAAGAAAGGAGAAACAGCGTTCTATTTTCTTAAACTCCCTTTGGGGATAGCTTAATTGATATGACAGTTGCTTCCCTTACACACATTGTGATCCTTTCTGTGACGCCCTGCGGTACCCCAGTAAAGCCATAGACCCGTATCCGGGCGAATGTTAAAAGGAAATACTCAAAATGGCATTGAAGTGGCGCTAGGCAGATTATTCTGATTGCAGAACGAAATA